ATCAATCAATCCTTTATTTAAACACGTGACACCCAGGAGTACAGAAGTGCACAAATACGTTTCTATGACCGCAGTTCAGATATATAAATTTCATACGTTTGTTGCGTTTTATTTATCATCTTACGGGTTTATGTCGGACTAATTTGATGACTTGCTCCCAGCTGGCTTATTAGCTCAATTGGTAGAGCGCTGCACTAGTATCGCAGAGGTCAGTGGTTCCAATGCCGTACAGGCCTGAGTTTTTTCAGGTCTGATTTTCACAATTGCTTAAATGGCGTTCTTTACTGTGAGGAATCGTGCAAAAATACGTTTCTATAACCACAGCTCAGATATATGAATTTGATATGTTCGTTTTGTTTAAAAGACCATGTTGAGCATCTTTTTGTCTCGGCGCCTGTCGGTGCAGTGACATTGTTATGTACTTTGGTTAATTTGCATAGTAGGTGTAAAATTTCCTTTTTCCTTGACCTCTTCATCGCAAGTAAACGCTTGCCAATTACTGATAACTGTCTAAAAGTAAAGGAATACAATATGAAACAAGAATTAATACACACTGGTAAAAAAACAAACGAGAAAAATTTAAAGTGAGAAACAAAAACAACAAACAAAACTATAAAAACAAAGCAAACGAAATTGAGAGCTGTTGGAAATGGAAAAATTTCTTGAGAGGTGTCGATTGAAACGGTCTAATGACTTTACTAGATTTTAATTCATTTGTCGCCAGATTACTGGAAGCGTCATGGATCTCTCACTTGATTGGCTTAGGTTAAAGAATTATGATGTAATAAGTATAATTTTGGATCAACAGAAATAATAATATACTGATTGCATTTCAGCCATCGTGTTCGAAGACATTTAAGCTACCTGAGAATCTATACATCTATGGATAATCGTTGATCTATTTTTTCCAAATAATCTTTAATTGGACAGTTTTAAAAAAATGAAAGGGTCTAAGCATGACTGAGCAATGCCCAGTTTCAACAGATTGGCTATATGATCGGCGAGTAACAGGACTACGTGCCATACAAATTTCAACACATTCCTCTGACACGCAAATTGGACGAGGCTATTAGCCGAGTCCAATTCAGGCTTTCCTCAAATCTTTTTTTTAAATTTCGATATGTCAACAAAGTTGAAATGGTAAATTGGCCACCGTAACGATTACAAAAGCTGACGTTTCGAGCGTTAGCCCTTCGTCGGAGCTCTTCAAAGACCACGGCTGATCGGCATTCGCTCTGACGAAGGGCTAACGCCCGAAACATCAGCTTTGTAATCGTTATGGTGGCGAATTTACCATTTCAACTTTGTTGATATATCCAAATTATTTCGTTGCTCCCACCGACGCAGCCCCAAACAGTTTCTTTCCAAACTATCAGTCCTTATTCTTTTTTTTTTAAATAATTATCCCCGGATTGGTCTGCATATAGTCCTATTACACACAAAACTAGCCAATTGTCCAAATATCGCAGGATGTTTGTAAAATCGAGCATTATTAGTATTTTTTTTCAACTCATATCAGTTAGATTGTAAT